GCGTCGCTGCAGGGCACGCTCTACCATGACCCGCGCGCGTTAACGCTGGATGATCGAAGAAATGGGAGAAGGGAGAGATAGGGGCGACGAGGAAGTGTGGGAGAAGGCTGGCGAAGTGAGGAGAAACCCTAACTGTTGCTATATATATAAGCCCTATAGAAGGATTGTATATGGGCTTGGCTGGGCCTCCGTGTATATTTTCTAAGGCAGGTCTCTTAAGAGGTCCATGGCCTCCATTTTCGGAGGCGAACCTCGTAAAAGGCCCGTCTCCATAAATCCATTAGGAGGACTGCCTCTGTGAATCCCTTTTTAGGAGGTGGCAATTGTGATCGTCTCCGTAAATCATTTTAGAAGACGGGCAATTGTGACCGCCTCTGTAAATAAAATGACCGTCTCCGAAAATCCTCATATATTTTAGGAGACGGTTGTATTTTGTGACTGTCTCCACTAATATTTGGGCAATGTCTCGCAAAATTATTTTTATAGTAGTGATTTGAGGTTCATACTTTTTTTCTAAGTTAGAATATTTTTCTAAGTTATTTTTTAATAATAGTAAATCAGATTTTATTATTTTTGAATGTATATTTAAATATTTGGGTAATTGTTTTAAAAGGTACTCCCTCCGTTCCAAATTATAAGTTATTTTAACTTTTTGGGAGAGTCAAAGCATGTCAAGTTTAACCAAAATTATAGAGAGAATTATAAAGACTTATGACATCAAATATGTATTACTATGAAAATATACTTAATGAAGACTCTAATGATACTTATTTGATATATAAATGTTATATTTTATTATATAAATTTGGTCAAACTTAAGATGCTTTGATCCTCAAAGAAAGTTAGAATGACTTATAATTAGAGATGGTGACAGTGTTTGTATAAATTTTTAAAGTTTAATTGATCTCCATGAACTGTCATGGAAGTGTTTTTTTAAGGCAACTATCACAAATTTTGATGTACCTCACTTGTGATTCATGTGGCTCCGCGTAGGATGGCTGCACCTTAGCCAAAACAGTTTGCAAAACTGCTCAAAGAGCTAAATTACACGATTTTAAGAGTTGAAAGAGTCTATAAATCTAGTTTTTTTATTGAGAGAATTAAGTGCACTAGTTGAGAGGGGTTGAATGGATTTTTTTCCTTTTTATTAAATCCAGTCCAATCCAATCCAATATAACTGAAACGCAAACCTAACCAACCAGCCCAATGCGTCTTTAGCCCAACCCGGCCTGCATCTGCAGTCCTGCACGCACGAACCCTAACTCTCTCATCCACGACTCCTCCCGAGCGAGCGCCGCACAGCAATCCAGCGAGCGCTCGGGCGTCCGGGCGGCACTCAGGGGGCGTCGGTTCGGTGCTTGGGAAGTCCGGCGGCAGGCGCAACCCCACAGCTTGCTCGCAGCAAAGTAAATCCCTCGTCCCCAAATCCCCTTTATTACTTCATTCAGTTTTGAACAATGAACTTGGAATCGCAAACCATGTGGCTTTTCTTCAATTGCAGCGCGCTAGACAAATCCACACTCTTCCAATCTTGTCACAACATGCGAAACTCAGTTTATTGATGTCCGTTATTGTCATTGCTACCATACCATTCGAATCTGGCATTTGTAATTCAAGTGATTCCCTTTCTGTACATCACTTGTAATTAATCTACATCATCAATCTTCGTTTCTGTATCTGTCATTGGTGCTATGCAAAGTGTTACCAAAGTGAGCGCCAATTGCCAATGCCTCTTCTCAAACTAACCTATGGACATAAAGAGTTGGTTAATTGGCCAGGAAGAACATTTGAGGTAGAAAAAAATTGAAAATGGGTTAAATTGTTCAACTCAAGTGGGAGTCTCCTTTGATGTTTGGGGATAAGACTTAGGGTGAAATGTATCCCTGGTTAGTTGATTCCATTTCAGACCAAATAAAGGGTTTCGGTCAATTGGGTGGTCCTTTTAGTCTTGTTTTCCTAGCTTCGAGTGTCAAGAGACTGCTTATGCTCTGTTGCCTGGACTGTAAACTGCTGCTCTTCCATAAGTAGATGCTAAATAACCGGTGTGGATTCCCTCATGCTGCTTCTACCAATATAGCAGACTAACAGTGTAGCTCTGGCAGTTTCTTTTGATATCAATTGCTTTAGGTGTAGACCCTTTTTCTTGAGAGCATGTTCAATCACAATCCCTATCTTCTTGTAAGAAAAATGAAAACAATGGCCTAAACCTAGTTATAGAGCGCGAGACGACTGAGATCAGTTTGAAAAATATGGATGACGGATGTGTAGAATCAAGCCCCTTGCTGCCAGCTCAAAATATGAGTGACAAAGATTTGAAATATTGCCAAAATTTCTGCTGCGCATGATGTAATCCTTGAAACATTCATAAGACTTGGATTCATCTCACCAGAAATAATGAAAGAAACTTTGTTGCTAATATTATACTTTCAGGAAATAATTGGTGCTAATGGAGAATTGGGAACAAATCATAGGAATGTATTAGCAAACAGAGAGTCTTATGGTGTCATAATATCTGCTATGAGTAAGGTGAACTGATCTGCAAATGAAGAATAACAAAATTCACCAGTCTTTAGATCTAGTTGTTATGACCAAGAAATTGATCTTTACTTCAGTTGATGTAATTTATCAATCTAATAATGAGGGAATTCAGATTTGGACCCCGGAACTGGAATACCATGAACGAATCCAACCCTCTTTGTTATATCACCCCAGTCACCATCTAAGATGGTTTGGTGAACTTTTTTGGCACTGTTCTTTTGACACCTTGGCTTATACCTGGAAAAATAACATCCAGCATTCAAGGTTTTGGTTGAGATCTGTCTCCTTCCGTCACACATCTATGAAGGGTTTCTTTAATTCCACCCTCTCTGGCAGCTCTGCGGTACTCCCTCGTCCCCGATATGGCCTTGTTTGGATGCGCATGTATTCATCTCAATCCACATGTGTTGAAGTGGATTGGAGTGGAATTAAACTAAATTCCATTCCATTCCACTCCAACACATGTGGATTGAGGTGGATACACATGCATCCAAACAAGGCCTAAATCTGTAATAGCAAGATTTGATCCCTCCTCCAAAAGCCCAATCCTCGTTGGCCTGCTCTTCCCTTGTAAAGTGCACAACAGGCTCATTCCCTCCTCAATGAGTTTAAGACCTTCTTAGCAACTCCATAACCTCTAGCTTCTCTCCTAGCGATGGCAATGATGAACATAAGATTGCTATCACGTGGAGCTTCAATCAATCGCTGTTTGGAGCTTGTTCCAGGTGATTACATGACCCCATGAGCCTTGTATTTGGGCAATAAGGTTTCATGATTTCCAATCAAGTCCCAAGATTGGTTGGGTTTTCCTTCTTTTCTTTTTTCTCTAAAAAACGCAGGACAGTTGCGTGTCATTTCACCATTAAGAAGAAAAAGTACATAAAGGAGGGGGGGGGGTGGTTAAACCCTCCTAGTTTCTGCAAAATTAAAGCCCAAGCTTGCCGATCAAACACACAATAGATGAGGATGTGCTGGATATTTTCCTCCGTCCGATCACAAAGTGGACACCGCCGGATGAGGAAGCCCGCACTTAGCAAGACGATCAGCTGTCCAGCACCTGTTCTTGATTGCCAACCAAATGAAGAATTTACAACGCAGTGGGTGCCCAACTTCTCCAGATGCGCTTCCAAGGTGTCAACCTAATGCTTCCAAGGAAGAGAGCATTGTACGCCGACTTGCTTCTATACAGCCCCAAAGTGGTTAGCTTCCACCTGTGCTGATCAGGGATCTCTGGTTGTAAAACCAAGCCATCTACCAGATCCCAGATGTATAAATATTCTCTGAGCACTTGCACAGATAAAGCCCCTCTAATATCTGCAACCCAGCACCTATTATCAAAGGCTTGAGCCACTGTACGTTGTTTCACTGCTCGTTTGGGTATCAGCTTACATAAATTCGGTGCTAGTTCAGATAAAGTCCTGCCTTGCAACCATCTATCCAACCAGAACTTGGTTGATTTCCCATTGCCAACTATGGTTTCTACTGCAACATTGAAGAGTGTCCTAGTTTTTCGTGGCACTTGGATTGGCAAACCTAAGAATGTGATGTATCTGTTTTTTGCGCCCAAAACCACCGGATGCAGAGCGCCCAGCCTAGAGTTTCTAGGTTATGAATTCCAAGACCATCATACTGTAGGCGGTGCTGGACATGCTCCCAAGACACGAGACAATTTCCACCATTTGCTTTCTCCCGACCCTGCCAAAGAAACCCCCATGCACCGTCTATCAATTGCCTTGATCACCAAATTAGGTAAATCCATAACGATCATAAGATAGATGGGAACTGCTGTTAAGACCACTTTAGCCATGATCAAATGACCATGGTTTTTCTTTATGGAGTTTATGTCATGGAATTGTCTTCATAGGGTTTATGTTGAAGTGCTTAAGTTAGGAATCTGCTGGTTGAATTTGGTTGTGAAACCTGAATATACATGTTACGTTGTACTATCGTGCCACACCAGGGTTGTCTACTGAATATTTGTCCTATTTACTTTTTCTTTTCTGACAAGACTCAGATCTAAAATTTTCACGTTAACACCAATCAACACAACCTTGCTTCCCCCTGCTTTGCTCCCCATTCTTCGCTTTACTGCGCTAGGGTAAAATCCCACTATTGGCACAAGAAAATGGGGCCAAATTGTTTCTGTCCAATACACATGGCCTTGCAGTCAGCCTAAGTGGCAAAACTTAGGTGACAAAGCGCCATAGATGCAAAACCTTTTTTTATGGGATGGCCGTGTGTATGTGTGTGTGTGTGTGGGGGGGGTTGATTTAGTTGGGATAATGAAATCTGGAATGTTCGTTTCTTGGTATTGTAGTTTACGGGGTCAAATAAACTCCACATTAAAGCCTGTTATTTGTACTTTGTTGTATGAATTTAAAAAATTTGCAACTATCTTATTCAACTTAGCGTTGCAGGTCCATGAAGCATGAATGGCAGCCGAAAAGGATGTAGATATGGCAATGATAGCGATGGAGGTAAGTGAAAGGAATGTGCTCATGATGTCAACTGGCTATGAACTCTAAGTACTTATGACAGACCTGCAAACCTGCAATGAAATGTTCCAAGGATATTTTTTTTCATTTTTTTTGGACAATGTACTGAATTGTTCCACTTATTTGAGAAAACCTCAGCCGGTGGGGAAAGACTGCTCCATGGTATTGCACTAATAAAAAGCTCTGAGTCTACCGACCAAGGAAAGGAGTCGAACCTTCATCCCTATAGGGTCGCACTGTTGCCTGGGTTGGCAACAACGCCATTACGAATATAGGGCCACACTGTTACCACTAGCTCATTCCCTTGCACTATTTTTTAGGGTTGCCAGCTAGGGGAGCTAACCATTATGCTATGAAAGTGTAGGCATATTGTATTACTTATTTCACTGAGTTGTTAGTTGTTCCCTTCCATGTTGTTTTTCTCGAATACGCAGGAGAACTGCGTATCATTGTATTAATAGTAGAGAAAGGAGTCATACAGAGACCCAAACACACACACATCCACTTACTGACTGAAACTAATCACCTATGACTGAGATGAATGACCTGACCAAAGACCCTCTAACCATCATCCCGAGCTGTGTGCAGGGACAGTCCCTTAGCACCAGCTATAGACCATAAAAGGGCTTCCTCCCGAGCATGGTTCAAAGCCGTAGACAATATAGGGGTAGCTCCATTGAAGACACAGTCATTTCGATGCTTCCAGATGGTCCAGGCGCCTAGGATGATGAGGGAATTCGATCCCTTTCGTGCATCTCCGCTTACTGTCAAGACCGCCTTATCCCACCAGGCATCAAAGGAGGAATCGACTGACTGCGGGGAAGTGCTGCAAGATCGATGCTATGTAGGATGTCATACCAGAATTGTCTTGGAAACACACATCCAGTGAGGAGGTGCTGGATGTTCTCTTCCTCTTGATCACAAAGTAACACCGGTCCGGGTGAGGAAAACCTCGCCGAGCCAACCTGTCTGCTGTCCAACAGCGATTGTGAGCAACCAGCCACATGAAGAAGCGACACTTAGGGGGCGCCCAAGATTTCCAGATGCGCTCATATGGGGCAAAACTGAGGGCTCCCTCAAAAAGTGCATCATAGGCGGATTTAGCTGTATATTCTCCTGAGGCTGAAAGCCTCCAAATATGCCTATCAGGGATCCCCTCCTGTAGTACCATACCTTTTGATATATCCCATAATTCAAGATATTCCATTAATGCATGCGCTGATATTTCCCCCTGAATATCTTCTAGCCATTTCTCCTCATCAAGAGCAGCCATCACAGTGCGTCTGCTTGCCCTTCTTTTTGGTACTAGAGCATACAGATTGGGTGCAAGATCCTGGATGCTCTTACCAGTCAACCATTTATCCTTCCAAAAAAGGGTATTGGCTCCATCCCCAATTTCAGTAATAATGGCCAGGGAAAGAAGGCATTCAACATCCTTGCTTACTTGAAGTGGCAGACTTGCCCAGGGTTTATTAGGTTCAAATTTCTTGAGCCATGGCCATCTTACTCTTAGTGCAATACCTAGAGATTTCAGATCAGAGATTCCTAGACCTCCAAGCTCCTTGGCCCGACAAACCTTGGGCCAAGCAATGAGGCAATGCCCATCTTTTGCTTCCTTGCGTCCTCTCCACACGAACCCTCTTCTGATTTTATCAATGGCCTTAATTGCCCAAGGAGGTAAGTCAATTGCCATGGCTAGATAGATCAGCATGGCTGTTAAGACGTATTGCACCTGCACTACCCGACCAGCCCGTGTCATCAAGTCTGCCTTCCAACCCGGAATTGATCCGCGATTCTGTCAATTATTGGCTAGAATTGTTCCTTTGTTAGTTTCCTGAGAGACAAGGGCAAACCCAAATACTTGCATGGAAATTCATGATTTCACAGGGCAGTAAACTCTGTATCACAGCCATATTAGCATCCGAGCACTGGATTGGCATCACACTACTCTTTTGAATGTTGGTCCTGAGCCCCGAAGCATCCCCAAAAAGTTGGAGCATGCTTAGTGTCAAAGAGATGTCCTCTGCAGCCGGTCTGAGAAAGAGGGCCACATCATCTGCGTAGAGGGAAATTCTATGCTGAATTGGTCTTCTAGACAGGGGCTGCAGCAGACCTGCCTTAGAAGCCCTTGTAACCATCCAATTTAATACATCCATGACCAAAATAAAGAGCATCTGAGGGAGGGGATCCCCTTGACGAAGTCCTCTTCTATGCTGGATGAAATCTCCAGGGGTACCATTACGGAGTACCTGAGTTGAAGAAGATACCAATAGGCCACACAAAATGTCTCGCCATCTCGAGCCAAAACCCAATTTACCAAGTACCTCCAGGAGGAGCGACCACGATACCAAATCAAAAGCCTTAGTAATGTCCAATTTAAGTAGGATTCTGGGCTGCTTTTGGGAGTGCAGGAATCTCACAGTCTGCTGGACCAACATAAAGTTATCCTGTATGAATCGATTTTTGATAAATGCACTTTGATTAGGGGAGACCATCTGATCAAGGCGAGACATTTTGTTATAAACATTGCAACATAGTAAGCTATTCAAAGGTTATGCCATTCAAGGTTCTTAAGGCGTCTGGGCGATTTCCCGAGTGAGGCGTCGGGCTCGCCGTGGCTTCCGTGTGTATGGCGTCACCTCAGCTGCCAAGGCGTCGGACGTACGTTACATGCGTGAAAAGGCGCTGTGCGCGGGAGGGAAAGGAGCCGCACGTGGGAGGAAAAGGTGCCGTGCGCGCGGGAGAAGGGGCCGCGGGAGGGAAAGAAGCCTCGCGCTGGAGGGAGGAGGGGCTGCGGGAGGAAAAGGCATCACGCACGCAGGAGGGCCATCCCTGCAGCTCGCTAATTGATAGAGAGAGGGAGAGAAAGAGAGGAGAGGAGGGAAGAGAAAATGGCGGCTGGAGCACCTGAGCCGCTCCCGCCCCTTCCGCTCCGCCGATTCGCTGCTCCTGCTGCGACTTCACGGCCCCCACCGATTTGCGTTTCCGACCTCCACTCCGTCAGCCTCCGTTTTCCTGCTGCGACTCTGTGTCTCCTTCCTCTGCTTGATTCCCTACCAGCAGCCCAGGACCCTTCACATCAGCTCGCAAGTACCTCTTCTTCCCCCCTCCAGCCTCCCCTCCTCTGCTCTGCTCTTCATCGCAGTTCCTTCCTCTGTTCTTCCTCTCCTTTCCTTCCTCTGTTCAGAAGTCTGAACTATATTGCTTATGCTTGCTTGGATCTTGGACTTGGATATACTCCTTTGATGTGGTATGCTGCTTGTGCTTGGATAGTTGGATAGGGTATAAACTGCTCTGGGTAGTGTGGGTGGTGGCTGCTTGTGCATAGGCTCTAAAATTGGCAGCAAAAAGGTATGTATCAATATATGTTCATCCTGCTCTAATGTACGTTAGTGTATGTGTATGGCGTCGCCTCGCCGCGCGCCTAATTCGCCTAGGCGTCTGGAAGGGGGTGGGTCGCCATGCCTCGCCCTACCGCCTTAATAACCTTGATGCCATTTGACAAAAAAGTTGGAGAATTAAGTTTCAAATCACCAAAACCTTGATACTTTGATATTTACAGAATACAAGCAGAGGGGACTCAGATTTGGAAGAAAGATATGGAATCATCCATACTCCTGAACATGAGGCTGGAGAACTTGGAAACTATACAACTGAAGGAAGCTTGCAGGTAATGATCTAAAAACTCATTGGCACATAGTTTACAGGACCAAAGAAACTGTATGGAATAAACAATGGAGATTAAGCTGCAGTGACATTCCATTTCAGCAGTCATCTACTTTCCTGCTGGAATGTACTGAAACAGATACTGAAATACAGGCCCCAGAAGCTGGGAGCACATTTGTTGAGGTACTTGCATCTCTATGCCAAAATTTCATCACATCTCACAGTTAAAATTGTTGAAGATTCCTTTTCTTAGGAAGCTATAAACATTTTTTAAATTACAGGAACTGGACCAGGAGAATGGGACTACTGTCCTAAATGAAGGAGATGAAGACCCCAATGATTTCCAAAAAGATAAAGCTGAAGCAGAAGTTGATGGTGATGAAGACTATATGTTCCCAAGTCCAGAAGAATTGGAGAAGTCTAGAGCTCCAGAGGTTGGCATGATATTTTCGACACTACAAGACGCGCATCGTTTTATCAATGTCCATGGGCAAGTTACTGGATACACAGTGATTAAAGGAACAAATTACAAGCACAAGAAGATAAGATTTGTGTGCAATAAAAGTAGGAAAACAAAACAAGCTGATACAAGACCGAAGAAGAGGAGAAGAGATGCTATTGTGCATACTCAATGCCCCATGAAGGTGACTGTGAAACTTGTTGCAGAGAGGTGGGAGATTATAGGAGTTATGAATGAACATAATCACCCACTTTGGAGTTCACCTTTGTTGACCAGATTTTTCATGAGCCACAAGCACATGTCAGAGGAAGAGAGACACTTCTCAAGAGTATTGCAAGAAAGCAAAATTAAACCAACAAAGATAATGGAAATTTTCAAGAAATTACAGGGGAGATTTAAGAATATACCTGTGAGTAAAGTGGATGTCAACAACTTGAAACAGTCTGGCAGAGTGATGAAGACTAGGAATACAGATATTGGAAGCACACTAGAACATGTGAGAAAATTGCAAAAGGAGCAACCTGGGTTGTACTATGCTATGAAGACTGATGAAGATAGTGCTATAAGAAGTATCTTTTGGACAGATGTGCGAGCTAGACTGGATTATGCTTTATTTGGAGATTCCATTCATATTAATACAACTTATAGAACCAATGCATACAACATGCCGTTTGCATCATTATTTGGAATTAATGGGCATGGTAAGCCAACTGTCTTTGGTTGGGCTCTGCTTGAAAATGACGAGGCAGAGACATTCTCTTGGTTATTCAGGACATTCTTGGATGTGATGGATGACAAGAAACCAAGTATTATAATGACTCGTCAGGATTCAGCTATGCAGAAATCAATTGCAGAGGTATTCCCTACAGTTTTTCATCGGTTTAGCATGTGGCATGTAATGAGGGAAGCTGCAGTTGAATTTGGAGGTTTTATGGCAAACAGACCTGGAATGGATGCTGAGATGTCATGTCTTGTTTTGAATTCTTTAACTACTGAAGATTTTGAGAATGGTTGGAAAGCAATGCTTAAGAAATATAATGCAGAAATAAATGCACACTTGAAGCAAATGTATTGGACAAGATCTATGTGGGTGCCAGTTTACTTCAAACATGTGTTTTGCCCATTTATACGTTCCTTCGGAGGTTGTGAGAGCACAAACTCAATCTTCAAGGACTATGTTCTGCAGGAGGATAACATTGAAACCTTCATCGGTCAGTGTAACATTTTCCAAGAGCAGGTTGTTAGCATTGATAGATTTGAGTCAAGTATTCAAAAGCCAATATACTGCACAAGGCAACCAATAGAAAGGCATGCTGCAGAAATTTACACAGTGGGACTGTTCTTAAAATTTCAGAAAGAGCTACTTGATGCATCTGCTTTCAATGTTTTTGAAGAGGAAAAGGACAGAATTTATACAGTGAAGAGAGTGCTGGAATATGAAGATGCTGAATTTCTGAATGATTCCTTCTCTGTTGAAGTTGACATGGAAAAAAAGATATTTAATTGCATATGTTCGAAGTTTGAGCGAGATGGAATACTTTGTTGCCATGTTCTAAGGCTTTTCACACAGTTTGGAATTAACGAGATACCTGAACACTATATCAGGCAAAGGTGGACAAAGAAGTTCAGAGGGCAGGAGTTACAAAAACTTTGTACAGAAAAGACAGGATCAGATGCTTCACAAAATGTGCTGAGGTATGCTATGCTTATGAACAAGACAGCAGATACTTGTGCTTCTGTAAGCAGGGATCCAAATCGAAGTCAAATATTCTTGGAAGAGCTCGAAAGGATTCAACAGAAGCTCTCAAGCAGAGAATAGCTGGCTTAGGGGATGAATAATAGAACAACCACACATGATGATGAATGGAAGCAAAGTAAGTGATTAGCAAGGAAAAAATGGAGCACTAGCACACCTAAACAAGAAGAGATCTTGTGGATGAGCAGTACATCCAGTTTTTATTAGATGGGTTGTTTAGGTGACAAGTCGTTAGTTTGTGTATTTTTAGATTTCAAGTCATTAGTTAAGAGATAAGTGCTCGACGGAGTGAGTCAGTGCTTAGTTCTGTGTAGATTTGAGTTGGACGGGAATCATTATACTTTGCTGCATGCTCTATTCACACAGGTCACAGCTTTTGATCTGAAAACAACTGCCCTTTCCTTTCTTTTGCTCGTGGATAAGATCAAAGTTGTCCTTGGTTGCTGATTATTTTAAATATTTGTACTACTAGTCAGGAAAACTTGTTGATAGGGCAAGTTTTGTCATGCCTTAAAAACTATAATGACATTTTGTTTACAAGTTCTATACTTGTAACATCTTAAAAATTTAAAGGATTTTAATTTTTAAGAATGTATTAGAGGAAATTAGTGATTAATGATTCACATCAAAGATCATATATATAGGTCAAATATGGCAAGTATTATCAATGGTGTTAGTTGTTGATAGGGCTATGTGTTAGATTTGTATATATTTAGGGGTCTAATTGTAAACGTATTGACGGTCTTATGACTATATATATGAAAGTCACTTCTCCCTAATGGGTGTGAGGTATTCTTCCTATTTCTTTCTACATGGTATCAACCGCCTAGGTTCTTTTCCTGGCTCCTCTTCCTCTACTCTAACTCCTCTACGCAGCCGCCTCCATGGCAGTATCCGCTCACCTCACCACGCTGTCGATACCCAGCCACGCATCCATCCACCGTGCAGTCGAGCGCGTCTGCGCCGTCGATCCTCGGCCGCGCACCCCCTGTCTTACTTTGTGTCGCGTAGACGGTCTCTCGTCATCTCCTCGGCCTCCTTTGCTCCCACGAGCGACCACGCGCACCTCCGCCAGCGCGGCATCCCGCACGCGGTTCTCTGCTGCAACCCCTACCTACGCGCAAACGCCTTCCCTTCGCTCGCCTGCGACTACGCGTGGCTGTTCCGCACGACCAGCACCGCACGTGCAGCTGACTTCTTCCTTCCCTCCCTGGTCTCCTGCACGTGCCGCACCCCTCGCGTCCGCTTGAGGACCGCCTCCTCATCAGCTCGCGTCCCGCTTCTCGTGTGTGACTCCTTCCGCGCGCCTGAGCGCGTCTCACGCGCCTCCCCTTCCCTGTGAGCCGCACGCTGCTCCTTCACGCGCGCCTCCTCCGGGTGACGCGCGGCCTCCTCTCCCCTCCGCTCGCGTGGCCCACCTGACGCGCGCCCTCTCCCCACCGCTCGCGCAGCATAGCCTGCATTACGTGCGTCCATCCCGTGCTGAGCCTGATTCGCCCCTCCCGACTCCTGCGCGGCTGTCCCTTCGCTCGTGGCCTCTCCTCCCCCTTCCCTCTGCTTCGTGCGCACTCACTATGTCTTAGCCGTCTACCCCCCTCATGCACACTCACCATGTGCCACCTCCTCCCACCATCCTCTGCCATTCCATGCATCTCTACTCTGCTTTCTGTCCACTCAGGTTTCTCTCCCTAGTCTGTTGCTCCTCTCTCCAATTCCGCTGAAAGTGCATTTGCTCCCTATGTGGGCTTTGGTGTATTGATGACATCCAAATTAGGGACTAATATGATCTTAATGAGATATGTCGCAGCTATTAGTCCCATGAAAGATTCAAAGGGTTGATAAAGATGAAATGGTATCCCTCAATTCTTGAAGTTGTAAAGAAGGATAAACTCAAAACACTCTCCAAAGGTTTTATTTTTATTTTTGAGTTTAGGATCCGCCGCACTATAGAGAGAGATTCAAACTTAGTTGGTCTGAGGTAGATAGAGTGCTCAAGCATTAAAATAAAATCAAAAGAGAGACACTTTAGCACTCCACGAGCACGTAGAATGTTTTTCGGTGACTGTTGGTGTCGGAAGTCCCGACGTAAGCTGAAACTCCCGACCGTCGGAAGTCACGACTCACGCCGGAAGTCCTGATGCCCAGTCACTTGACCTGCGCGGTGACCGTGACCGTCGAAAGTCCCGAAGTGAGTCGGAACTCCCAACAGTCGGAAGTCCCGACCCAAGTCGGTAGTCCCGACACCTGGGGTTTTGCTGGCCGGTTGTCTGCGTCCGTCGGAAGTCCCGACCCATGTCGGGAGTCCCGACACCTGGGGTTTTGCTGGTCGGCTGTTTGCACATGTCAAAAGTCCCGACGACGTCGGGAGTCCCGACGTTTGTCGGGAGTTCCGACATTGACTTGCTCGTGCTGACTTTTGACCCTATGTGAACAGTGTTTTCTGTTAAGGTCGAAAGTCCCGAGATCTCCATCGGAACTTCTGACGTTGATCTGAACGGTTAGATTTCTACTACGAGTATAAATAGCCCTCTCTTCACTTCTAACCGTTACGAACTCATTCACAGCTCACCAACCTTCGTGTTCCACAGCTCCCAAGCAACAAAGGCACCCCTCATCTCTCTTCTTTGCTCCAATCTTCGATTCCCCTAGGGTTTTGAGTGAAAGGAGAATGGATTAAGTGATAGAATCACTTTAGCAAGCTTGAGCACTTGATTTCTTCGTCAAGCCGGTTGGATTTGCATCTATTACTCTTGGGGCTTTGCCCCTAGCCGGCTATGCGTTGCCCAAGAGCTTCCATATTGTGGAAGAGCCTTGGGATGTTTGTATTATCCTTGATTTCTTATTGGAAAGCTCAAGTGACCTTTATGGTTGCCTTGAGAGAGGCAAGGAGGTGAAAGAGACTTTGACCTTTGTGGTCACCTCAACAACGATGACGTAGGAGCTCCTTTGTGGGGTTTGCCGAACCTCGGGATAAATCTTTGTGTCCCGTGTGCTTGATGTTGTGTTTGCTCGAGATTACTTGTATTTGCTTGTCTCTCTCTCCTGAACTTTATTTTAGGGTTTGGACTCGATCTACGGTTTGGAGGCATTTCGGCGTTAAGGGAGTGGCCCAACATCTTCACCAAACCATTAGGATGTGGGGTTGTAAGATTATTTATCCGCAAAGTTAAATTTGGCACTGCTTTTGTAGTTCACGTAGGCGTCGGGACTTCTAACGTTTGTGCTGGAACTTCTGACGACGTCGGGAGTTCCGACCCAAACTGTCGGGACTTCCGACATTGACTGATAAATTTGAACTTAGCATTTGCAGTTAATTTCTAGATACGCCTATTCATCCCCCCTTTAGGCGTTGTTAGATCCTTTCAATTGGTATCAGAGCAAGGTCTTCTTTTAGCGCTTCACCGCGTGAGAAGAAACAATGTCGGAGTCCAACAAGATGCAAGCCGATGCCGCCGAGATGGCCAAGAAAATAGCTAAAGAGTTGATGGCTGCTCAAGTCAAGTTCTTCCAAGATAAAATGAAGAAGATGCGAGATGAGATGAGCAAGATGAAGGAAGAATTGAGCACGAAGGTTGATGATGCGATAAGTGGCAAGAATGATACAACAAGTGACAAGAATGAAGCAAACAAAGATGCCGCTAGTGATATTGGAGCCAGTGAGCATGCCCATGGAAAGGGAATATATTCAAACATGAACTTCGACTATGGACAACTCATTAAAGGTTCACCTCTATATACTCCTTCCATCAACATTGGCAAGCCACCTCACTTTGATGGAACAAGATACACCGATTGGTCTTACAAGATGAAAATGCATCTCATTTCCGCAAGACTTTGGGAAGTTGTGAATGTTGGTGTGATGATTCCTACCGATGAAGATAGAGAGATAACTTCGAAAGAAGTGCACAATCTCCATCAAAATGTACAAGTCGTAGCATTGCTTGTGTCAAGCCTAGCTCCGGATGAGTTTAGAAAGGTGAATGGAATGGAGAGTGCAAAGCAAATTTGGGATCCTTTGAAAGTGTCATTTGAAGGAGATAAGAGTGTGAGAAAAGGCAAGATTGAGTTACTTCATGGTGAATGGGAAAGATTTGTGTTCTTGCAAAATGAAACAACACAATCCATGTTTGATAGGCTTATGACATTGGTCAACCGCATAAGAGCTCTTGGTAGCACCGAATGGGATGACAACAAGGTTGCTAGAAAGATGTTGAGGACCTATAGAGCCAAGAACAGCATGCTAGCATCCGTTATCATGGAAAGGCCCGATTATGATGAGATGACACCCCAAGAAGTTCTTTCAAAACTCAAGCATTATGAGTGTCTAGATGAAGATGCAATCAATGCTCACAATCAAAATCCTAATGCAATGGGATACAACAAGAGTGCAACCCTTAAAGCAACTCAACAACATGAAGGTCAAGGTTCAAGTCAAGAGAAGAAGAAGAAAATGAAGGATGATTTCTCAAGTAGAGAAGAAGATTCTGATGCGGAGGTTGCATTTGTGATTAGAAATCTTGGAAAGTTTATGACGAAGAAGAGCAACCGCAAGACCTATGGTGTTGGAAAGAGAAGATACAAAAAGAGGTTTTGCTATGGATCTGGTCAAACTGGTCACTTCATAGCCGATTGTCCTAATGAGAAGAAGAAGCACAAGCACGACAAGGATGAAGACAAGAAGAACAAAGGCAAGAAGAGAGGTGAAGCTCATCTTGGGGAAGAGTGGGAGTCAAATGATAGTGACTCAAGTGATGATGAGAAGAAGAAGGGAGCCGCAAACATCACCATCCACCACTCTTCTTCACCGACCATGATCTTCCCCAACTCAACTTCACCACCAAAACTCTTCCCCAACCTATCTTCACCACCGAAGCTCTTCTCCAACCTCATCGACAACGACTACTACACTCCAACTTGCCTCAAGGCTAAAGGGGAGAAGGTACATGTTACACCCGATCCCTCTAGTGATGAGTATGATAGTTGTGATGAGAACATAGAAGAAATGGAAGCAACCATGATAAAGAAATTTGGTACAAAGGCCTTCACTAAAATAAAAATGCTAA